AGGAGAAGGCCCTTTTGCCTAGTTCAGTCCTCACTGAGGGAACACTGTGTATCTGGAATATAAACGTAATTCTTTATTAAAAAAATATTAACTCAAAAAGGAGACGAGCGTTTATGAGTGAATTTTCAAAATTACTACAATATAGGAGGCACTGGAAGGCTACACAGTATTTGCGTAACGAGCACGAGTGGTGTCCTTGAACGCAACTCGTCACCGTTTGATGACGAATGGCAGAAAAAGAGTAAGTTGAAGGTGAGGTGACAGTTTTTATCACCTTCTACTACCAACTATAACTTATAATTAAGTCTTTGTTGTGCTTCGGTTGAGTTTAACCCTCAGATAAACCGCGAAAAGCTTCGTGTTGTCATGTCCAGGAAGGTTAGCTAACCAGAAAACAATAAAATAACGCCGAAACGTGATTTCATTATAGTAACTTAACATGAACGAGTTCGTCGTTATTTAATTGTTATTTAGCTGAAACACCGCTTGTTGTCAAGGCGTTTTACAACAAAGTCCATGCTCAATAATCCAGGTATATCAAGGCGTTTTAGTTGTGCTTTTATTTTGTAACGTTACGTGATTTTTGGGTGGGCGTGGTATAACGATGATTGACAACATTCTCCTCCAATGAGAGAAAGAGGGCGTACCTTAAAGGCGCAGTGTCCTCAAATTTACATTGTAGAAGATTAAATCTTTTTAACTGGTCCATTTTCCTGTATAAAAGCTTCAATAGCTTTTTGAAGTGGTAATATTGTAAATAATTTCTATTCAGTTTAAATTTAACCTGCCCTGTGTTAGAGACCCTGCATTCTGACTTCACGACTGTGTTTTATTATATGTAGAATTAATTTAGTTTGTACTTTTCACTACCAAACACCATTTGTTCACTAGTGCAAAGAAAAAAAACCTAACTATTAAATAAATAAGATATTTTATGGAATTCAAGATTATAGCAAACAAAATTATTAGGTTATAGCAAAAATCTTATTCAACTCACATTATGAAATTACAGAATTACTAAATTTATTTTGAAATATTACACTTTGTTAGTGAGCCCATAAACTAGGTTTTTTGATTTAGTGGTCCATCATTTATTGCGAGGTTTTACATTTAGTTACTAAAATCATTTTACTGTTTTAATATTAATGTGTGACAAATATTAATTAGTTATTTTTATATTCAACACAGTAAAATGGAAGATTTATTGTTTTCATCAGCCAGGATGACAAGTTTCCAGATGAGTGCGCAGGAGGAAATGGTGGAGAAGTTCCTGAACGCCGCAGCAAGAGGAGATCTGACCCAGGTGTCTTCTTTTCTGTCCCACATCCCCTCGCTCATCAACAAGACCGGATACAGCGGCTGGACGGCGCTGATGCTTGCAGCTCGCAACGGCCACCACCACGTGGTGGAGAAGCTGGTGTCCCTCGGGTACGCGTGGCTTCAGACGTACATCCGGCTGATACAATGGTGCTGCAATGAAATGTGTTTGTGTCCAGCTGATGAGTGGAGAAATGGAAGAATTAAAACAAACTGAAGCATATTGAAGAAGAGATGAGAAGCAGAGGAGGAAATAAAAATTGTACAAAATCTAATATCTAAAAGCAGTGGCAATTTTAGCCTCTATTTGGGGGTGCTTAAGCACCCCTGAGTTTTAACTTAGCATAAGGCCTGTCACATTAACAAATTTTGCTGGGCGATTGTCTCATAAATTATTGCGATAAACGATAATATTGTTTAAAATTTGATAATAATTACTAATTATTGTCAAATTTAAGTTGTTTTTTTTTTGGGGGGGGGTTGTTTTGCATGTAGTACCTTTGTTTGACCACTGGATGGCAGTATAAGACTTTGAACCCAAAGATGGATAGTGAGGGAGCGAGCAGCGTGTCTCTTTAAGAAACATGGGAGGGAGGCCCCTTAACGTGACATGGGCGTCAATCCAATAGGCTTGTCAGCAACTGACCAATCGGCAACCTCAATTTGTCCCGAAGTGAAACGCCCTTTACCTGCAGGAGATGCCATCCCCAACCCCACCCCCACCCCTGGTTATGGGGTTAGGGTTAGGTTTGGGGGGATGTTAGGATGTGTGAGAGAAGCGGATCATGCTCTCTTCACACAAGGAGAGCTGTGGGTCAGGCTACTTCTTGTTATACCATTAACTCTAAAATAGTTATTGAATCAACTGTTTACTCATGGAGGTAAAACTAGATGATAAACAACTTGTTAAAATGCATCAGAATGCAGGAAATGGCATCTACTTTATTCAAAATTTTCTGGGGGACGGCCCCCCTCCCCACCCACTGTGTCCCTCCCACATTACAAATGCTTCTGCCACCATGTTGTTCAAGCCAAGAGCCATTGTTAGCACTGGGGGCTAAGCGCCCCGAAAGGTCAGATTCTAGAATCGCCCCTGTCTAAAAAAGAGTGAAAGTCTCACTAGAATGGCCGAAGTTTACGTCAGCTGACCCTTCAAAACTGACATTTATTGTTAGACTATTGGGTACAAATCAGACATCACCATCTGTTCAGTTCGTTTAATACCATTTAAATGTAGGAAATGAATTAATTATTATTAATAATTATTAATTATAATAAATTAATTATTACTATCTTAGTCATATTATTACTTTTCAGTCATCAGGACCATCTTCAACAGAAAAATACCTACTTTCTTTTTGAACTTGTCTCTGATCTTCATAAATCCTGCTCCAGGAGGTGTCTGCATTTATGAATTTACAACATTGTCCATATTTCATTAAAATAAACATCTGGGATTTTCTTCTCCCTATACGCAGCAGTTCTTGAAATTTGACCTTATCGAGGTTGTTGCCGTTAGGTCCAGATTTTTGTTTGAGATCTCACATTTTGAAATCCAGGTTAAGGTCAAACTAAAACAGGCAACACTTCAAACCAAGTCTAAACAAAAACTCGAAGCTAAACTAGAAGATAAATTTAAAAATATATATTTATTGTGGAAAAAGGTGGACGTTGCTGTTAGTTGTTTCTCCAGTTTGATAAAACATCTGTATAAAATAAAAGTGAAGCACTAAACAGATTTTGTAATTTTCCTCTAATTCTGAACTTAACTTTTTTTTTTGCCTTTAAGTTGTGACAAGTTCTCCGTAAACAGTTCATCACAAACTGCCTACGATGTCGCCAAGTTCTGGGGCCACCGGCACATCGGCAGCCTGCTGAGTCGCTCAGAGGGCAGCTGCCGGCGCGTCTTGCCGGGCGACGACTTCGGCCCGCAGGAAAACTACTTCAGCAGGGAGACGCTGGACCGGCTGAGTGGAAGGAGGTCTGACGAGGTCTGGTTAGAGGCCAAACAGAAGGACCCTGACACCGTCTACCTCCTGTTCTCCAACCTCAGCCCAATGGTCAGCACGTCGCAGGACGACAACGACGGGGTACGGGACTGAGCTCAGGCTGCTGTGATGGGCCGCGGCTCGAAGTGAAGCTGCATTCATTGTGTTGTCTTCCTGTTTGTAACAGGGCGACATCAAGCTGTGTCGGTTCAGATACGAGGAAATTAAAGAGTTCCTTCAAAAACCTTCTACCGTGCTCATCTTTCTCGGAATGGAGAGGGTGAAGAATCCCCCCTCTTCCTCCCAGACGGAGGAGGGTACCGGCGAGCCCCCTGTTTGGTTCGCCATGAGCACAGATGAAGACCCTGCTGAGCTTCTGAGACGCAGCAGAGAAAAGACCTGCTTGTTCCCAAAGACTCCGAACAGAGACCTGCTGAAGTTCAGCGAGGAAGAGGCAGGTGAGGAAGATACAAGCCGACGGTTGTTTCCTCCTCGGCCTCTCTTGTATCTGACCGGTTCTGTTCTTTAGGCGTTGTGGCGCAGGCTCGATCCGTGCTGGCCTGGCACAGTCGCTACAGTTTCTGCCCCACGTGTGGCAGCAGCACCCGCCCGGAGGAGGGGGGGTACAAGAGGAGCTGCCTGAACTCTGAGTGCAGGAGCCAGAGGGGGGTCCACAACACATGCTATCCACGAGTCGGTAAGAATCTCCCGCGCAGGTCCCTGCATGCAGCTGACCTCGTCACTTCAAGGTAGCTTCTAGTTGGAAGCTCTTGAGGAATAAAGGCTGAGCTTCTGCTGAGATCTCATTGAATTCTGAGTGACCAGTGAGCTGTGCAGCCACGTAATTTAAAATAATTGGGCTTATTTTTCTCTGCATAACAAAACTATATTTTAGACTGAGCAGGTTCTTTAGTTGCCCACATTGTACCTGCCTCGACCCATGTTGAAACCTGCTACGTTTATGATTTCATCAACTGGAGTACACTTTAGAGATGAAAATAAGAAAATGTTTCAATAATCATTCTTTATCACCAGTGTGGTTTTTAGCTCTGGATCTTTAAAGCAGTAGGTTGGGGTTTAGGTTTATTGTCGCATGCAGATCAACACAAGGTCAACGATGCAGTGAAATGCTCAGGACGAGAAGAACCCCCTCGACTCAACAACAAAAACAACAACAAGAAATAACAAAGCGTGCAACAAAAATACAAAACCAAGACGCCAAAAGTGAAAAAGAAATACATCCACAGCAGCATGGTCCTATTAGCATTGTGGTTCTGTTGGCAGTGAGGTTCTCTTAGCAACATGGTCCAGTTGGCAGCATGGTACTGTTAGCAGTGTAGTCCTGTTAGCAGCGAGGTTCTGTTAGCATCATGGTACTGTTAGCAGTGTGGTCCCATTAGCAATGAGGTTCTGTTAGCAGCATGGTCCCATTAGCAATGAGGTACTGTTAGCAGCGAGGTTCTGTTAGCATCATGGTGCTGTTAGCAGTGTGGTCCCATTAGCAATGAGGTTCTGTTAGCAGCATGGTCCCGTTAGCAATGAGGTCTTGTTAGCAGTGTAGTCCTGTTAGCAGTGTTGTCCCATTAGCAATGAGGTTCTGTTAGCAGTGAAGTTCTGTTAGCATCATGGTGTTGTTAGCAGTGTGGTATTGTTAGCAGTGTAGTCCCGTTAGCAATGAGGTTCTGTTACCAATGAGGTTCTGTTAGCAGTATAGTCCTGTTAGCAGTGAGGTTCTGTTAGCATCTTGGTACTGTTAGC